GCCCAGCTGCCCCAGGCCCGCTCCCTGCGGAGCCGGCGCGCTGCGGGCGGGGGGGCTCTAGGCGCGCCCGGGGCCGCCTCACCTTGCACTGGGTCACCGCTGCCATCCTGCTGCGCCCCCCCCACGCCCGGGACGCGCCGCCGCCGCCCCAGCCCAGGAGCTACTGCGCCGCCGACGTTGGGCCGCAGAGCGCGGCTTCCCCCGGACGTGCGGGGGGCAGGGCGGGCGCGGGGCCCAGCCAGAGCCGCCGCCGCCTGCTCCGCCCGGGGGCGACGCGCGGGCTGCGCTGGGCCCGCCCCCGAGCCCTGCTCGCCGCAGGGCGGCTGCGAGGCGCTGGTAACCCCACTCCTGGGGGGCCGGCTCGGGCCCCCCGTTGATTGCGGGGAGGGGGGACCGGCCCTGCCACGGGGGCCACAGATTGAGGGCACCGCGTTACCCCTTCCGCGCTGTGGAACCTTCCCGCCCTGAGCGCCACAGTTGGGGCCACCCAGCCCCCGGCGGAGACAGGGCGAGGGCCATGGAAGGGTTTGGCCATCAGCCTGGCTACTGCTCCCGGAGAGGTGGATGAAAAGCCCTGCCCTCCACCTGGGAAGCGTCTAGACACTAGGGGCCCCGGTGCCGTGCATTGCAACGCTGCCACTGTATTGGAGACGATCCCGCACCCCATCGGCTGGGCTAGGGGAGACCAGGCTGCAGAGAGGCTTCTCCAGGCAGAGGGCCCGCTAGTTAGGCAGTTAGTGGGGACAACTACGTTCCAGCCCCAGCTCTGCTGCGGAGATCCTTGGGCAAGTCAGTTAGGCCAGGTCTACACCAGGAGCGTTTCGCATAGCTATACTAGCAATGCACGGATAGCGAGGATGCAGTTTGTAGCAGGAAAACTCAGCACTGTTGCTAATACAGCTGATTTAAGCCCCTCATCTTTCCCCACCCAGGCCCTGTGTGAAATAAGCGATACTGGGAAAAGTGCAGTTCGCTGGTATAACTATTTGCACTAGGGTCTTCAAGTGGCATAGCTATGTGGGCCGCAAATCAGTCAAACATCCCTCAGACCAACATAGCTTATGCTGAGAAAAGTTTGTAGTGTAGACCTGGTCATAGTCTCTCTGTAAAATTGGGATAATAGGCAATAGCCTTTCCCTACTTCACAGGGGTGTTGATAAGATCAATCCATTAAAAACTGTGCAGGCACTGTGATGATATGGTCATGTGTACCACAGTGAGTTCCTTATACATAACATTTCTCTCCAGCCTGCTGCTCGCTATGCTGGTGGTCACCCCTCCATCCCTGAAGGGGCTGTATGTCAGTCCCACAGCTATTTATTAACCCCTTATCTGTGCTGATGCTATGCTCTTCCAGTCTTCAATCCGAAGTGTTCATAATTCATGATGAGTCAATCCCCAAAATCATGATTGACTTAAAAATCATGGGTATTTGTAATTGATCTGTTTTGGTGCTTTCTGTTTTTTTAGTCTGTATCACATTTTCAAACTTTTCTCTGGAATAAGAAGAGCTAGGGGGTTTGGTGTTTTTTTGAATGAAAGCCAAGATTTGTGACTGCAGCAGCTGAGGCTTTAAGAAAAACACCAAATATTATGAGACTTGTGATAAAATAAGACTGTGAAGTCTGCCATCTTTTCAAGTAAGGAAATTTAAGCCCCACAAGCAAGTACATCAGGAGAAATGGTAGAGCTTAAAGCCATATTACTAGTCCCCTGATCCCTCCTCCAGCCTCAGCTGTTCTAACTTTTGTCACTGGTAACAGCCCTGTGGGGCCAATATGCTGGATCAGCACTGCATTCTCCAACACACCTGTGAGGGAGTACAGCTCCAGTTATGCTGGCTTTACAGTGACAAGAGAGATCCCAGCTATGCCTTTAAGGCTGCAAAAGGGCTGTACTATGAGTCAGGATGTGGTCCTAGATGTATTTATTGATAGAGAGAGAGAGAGAGAACCGAAACAATTACTTTCCAATACAAATGAAATATTTATTTCTTAATAAATGTAGCTAATACTATTTAAAGGTACTCTGGTAGTTTAAGCCCTGAGCCTGCAAGTATGAAAGCATGTGCTTATAATATGGGTTTTGGTACAAGTACAGTTTTGTAAACCCTAAAATGAGGAATAGAAATGTTTTCATGAAAAAAAATGGTTGTATATAAACATTTCTATGCTGTTTGCAACCTTTAACTGCAATATTGTGCTAATACAAGTGAAACCAAAGGTGAAACTGAGTAGAAGCAGTTAAGCTTTGTTGCAATATCCAACCAGGAGAAATGCAAAAGGAAAACAAATATAGTTTCAAAAGTTGAAAAGTAAATCAGATTGAAGGACAGCAAAAAAGGGAAACTTAAATCATATCTGTTTTTAAAATAATTTCCCCCTCTAACAGTTTCCTATTTTAATATTTACTTCCAAATTCCCAATAGCAAGAAGAAAAATAAAAATAAATAATAAAAAACAATCTCTTCCAGCTTCCCAGCAATAAGCAATATGATGAGTGAGGTTCAATGACTTAGCCAGTATACATACAAATTTATGAATATAGGACTTGTAATAGTAAATCATACCAAAGGTCCTTCCAGTCCAGTATCCTAATACCAGATGCTTACTGCTTTGTAGTGTAAGACCCTGTAGTGGAAAATTAGTGGAGATGGATGAAGCCAGAATGAATAGTTTGACTTTACATTTCTAGGTTCAATTTGCAGGGCTGGTAGTTGGAATATATATATACTGTAAACTGAGTAGCTGTGACACGGCAATTAAAGACACAGTAGAGTTGGAAGCTCATGATGGATGCCCTATTACAAGATCACTTTTCAATCACTTGAATGTTTTACTTGACTAGAACATAGTAACAGGTCATCACTAAGGATAAATGAACCAGCCTGAGCTTTTGCCCCAAACCTTAGCCCAAAGTCAACATCTGAGGATCAAAAATTTAACTTTTTTTCTCTTGCCTCTCTTCTTCCTGCTTTTTTTCTGATACAGAAATACCAAACACTACAAGACAGGCTATTCTTGCAGTCTATTCTTAAATTTTCAAACCAGTATATACCAGAAATATCACACACAAAAATCTGTTCTTGTGAAATTTCCAGTCTGGTAATGGAAGAAAGAGCAAACTATCCTTTCACCACTTTCTTCAGAAGAAGAAAACCCACATCATGAAATATATATCAAATGGCAGAAGGGTGGCTTCATGTAATTTACCATTTGATCTTGCTCAATGTAACAAACACTAATTGATTCCTAACATGGGCCATCCAGTTGAGCAGCAGAGTACTTCTGTGCCTCCATATACTAGCCATATGGGGATTACTTGTTAGAATTGAGTCTGAGGAAAGGGGTTACCAGAAAACAAAAAACCATTAAGCCAAAGCATACAATTTAAATAATGGTTTGCTTTGCAGCATCCACTATAGTGTCACTCAGGGCACCGAAGTAAGTAGCTTTTCAGAGAGTGGGAGAAGGGAGAGTAGACAAAGGGTGAGAATTATGTATTATATTAGCAAAAGTCAAATGTGAACATTTTAAAATATAAAAGTTTCTTGTGTGATACAAGGCTCATACATTCCTTAAAGATCTACCCTTTATATATCCTATTGCTGACTCTGGGTTTCTGCTCCTCTTGCTTGTTCCCAACAGTCTAGGTTATAAAGCACTCCATTCAGTTAAAAAGCTGTCAAGGAGCTAGCCTGGATTTTGAACAGCAGATTTCAAATTATTGTGTTAGAATGTCCTGTGTTAAATTAGATTGAATTAAATTGCATTCTATTACAATACAAATGTGTGGCTGTTATGCTGTTACAGATACATTATGAACTGTCTAATCCTGTGCTATTTTATGCCATTTGCGGCTTTCTTTCTTTTTTTTTTTTTAATTTTCCACTTTTGTACCTCTCACACTCATTCTCCTTCCCAATATTTTTTTTAAATCCTTTGTCTCTTCTACTGCTCTTTATGTCCCCGTTTAGCCACTCTGGATTCTGTTGCTCTTTTAGCTTTTTTTGATTTTACTGGAATTAATTTGATTATAACCTCTCCAACTGTATCTCAAATAGCTCTCACCTTACCAGTGTAGATTTCCTATGCATTACTGAATTCCTGCCAATTTTCTTTCTTGCTTTTCACATTACTTCAAAGTCTGCTTTTCGGAGTTCCAGTCATCTTTGTATTATTGCCTTTTCTATATACTCTCATCAGCATCTCAAACCTGATGATATAACTAGATCCTAGGTGCTCTTCAACCGTCCTTAACCTTATATATTAGCCCTGAATTACTTTACAACTATTGGGTCCAGAATAGCCTCTGACCTTGCTCACCGTATGAGAATATTTTTGATTGTCTTTGAGTCCAGACGTTGGACATTTAAACTATGTAATGAAACTTATAACCTTAAGTTCTGCAGCTCAGGATGAACACTATAATTGGACTACAATACTTCTGAACTGTAGCATTCTGAACAGACAAATGCATACATGAAGAAATTATTAGCTACTGTGAAGATATATCAACTGTATCAAATCTATCAATTGATATGGGCCTCATCACTATAGTGCCATATTGATATACAGAATGCCCTGGTAAATTGGAATGATTACTGTCAGTTTTAAATTTGATAATTACAAGGAAAATCTAAGTTACAATATTGGACATTAATGCTTTCAGTCCCCCAAGCGGATGAATATTAAAACCAGTCCCCCCGTTCCTGAGCTCCATTTCTAATGCTTCCTCCTCCAACAGTTACTAATTTGGGGGCCATTGTAATCATGACTTTAGGAATTTTTGCTCCCACCTTCTGCCACCTCATTTCTCCAAGACCTGTCAAGCATTTTAAGTAGTATGCACTTTCCCACACTTCTCAATGAATGCTGACATACCTAACTTAAAAGGATTACTTTCTGCTGAGAGGAATTGTAATCCTCTTTTCCTGCTCTGTAAATCCTCTGGTAAGTGAAAAAGAAAGGCCAAGATCTGTTCTGCTGTGCAGGGCAAATCACCATCTCATAAGGCATAGCTGAAACATCAAATCTAAGATTTACTTGTGGTCACACTTGTCTGGGAACTGTCTCTGTTGTATTAATTCATTGGCCTCTTACATCACTTTTTTTTTTTGATGCTTTGATATTTTCTGTTTTAGTTTCTAAATATATGTGTACACACACATAACTTACTTTAATTGTATGCAGAATAAAAACAAGAAATCTAGCTATGGTATTTTATAAGTTGCTTATGATATTGAATTGCCTAAGCATTAATACAGCTTTTAGTAT